ATTGTCCAAAGACTTAATTGTTCCAAACAGTAAAATCCATTGGGTTTTCTTTTGCACTTTTCCTTATATTGTATTTATATGGAAATTGAATTGTATTTCTACTTATAATAAAACAAAATATGGAATTCAGCCAATCTTAAAATTTAGTAAATGGTCTGATTTTTTTTTTCCAAATATTAGAAGTAAAAACTTTGCTCACGAAATGCATGTAATCCACAAAAATAGAAGATAAGTGAGCGTGGATGGAGAGAGTTATTGGTGACAATATGATGCTGATTCTTTAGTAGAAGACAAGGTCAACTCCAAGTCTTTTCGAAGAATAGTCCCTTCATTCAAATAGTACCGTCAAAAAGCCATCGGTAATTGCCAAGTGTTCATTACTATAACAACTCACCCCACACATAACTCATAAACATATGATTCATATAATACAAATAGCTCCCAACTTTACAATACAAAAGTTCAACAACTTTTAAACACAACTTGAAGTAATATGACTATAACCGATTTAATTGTTATGTAATAAACCGCTCCAACAAAAAATTTAATCAACACATAATCATATATAAAACATCTAATCTCTCACCACATCTTTCCCTTCCCTTTACCATCCGGATGAATCCGACCTGAAATGCATATTTTGAAAATCATAGAAAGGGTTACATCATAAGGTCTAGTGAGTAATTTCCTGTTAGCTTTACACAACCAAAATCACCGAAAACATTTAGTATATCAAAAAGTCACTTTCACTTTATCATATTATACCACCCTTATTCTAAATACACATCTTCTAAGTATGTCACCCTTATTCCAGTATACACCTCTACTACCGTTGATGCCACATTTTCCCCAATAGATACCTCTCCTGCTAATATTTCAAATATCCAGAGATATTTCCACAATTGATATAACAATATCAAATTCAATCATACCCACAAATAACAGTTGATTGTATCAAAAATCAACTAAAGTCATAACCCACATATTTCATAACAAAAGCATTTCAGTTTTACTTTTTAAAGAAAAACTTACCTCGGTACCATATATATAATGTCTCCATATCTTTAAAGCAAAGACAACCGCACCAAGTTCCATATCATGAGTGGGATATTGTTGTTTGTGATCTTTCAATTGTCGCGAGACATAAACAATAATCTTTCCATGCTGCATTAGAACACATCCCAATCCCAACTTCGATGCATCACCGTAAACCACAAAATCATTAGGATATATATATATATATATATACAATAGAAACTTACCATTCTTGAATAACAATAGATGTGACTACCTAGATAGATTTATGGAGGTCCATGATGTTCGAATGATTGCAATGGAGCCACATTTATAGATCACTGTTGTTGAGCTACCAAGAAGATGAAGAAAGAAAAGTGACAAAAGGAAGATTTGGGTTTCAATCGTGGGAGAAGAAAGAGGTAAAACATTAAAGATGAAGAGTAACGGTTATAAATAAGGTGGGGACACAAGGCCAAGTGACTATATTTTGCCCTCACATTACTAGCATGTGAGGGCACTTAAAAGGAGATGTGTAACGACCGTTAGGGCCATAGGCAATTTTAAAAGTTGAGTTATGAACATTTGAGTTTCCTTAAACTACATAGACAATCATTGGAATTTACTCTGAGAACAAAGATTCGAATAAGGTGCCTTACTAATAAAATAACTTGGAAAAGTTATTCCTAATACATATACAACATACAACAATATTAAGATATTGGTTACGAAGAAAATAATATACAAAATGTACACAAGTATACAAAATCATAATAAACAGATAAATCTTATACCTGTTATAACATATAATTATACACAATAGACATGACATAAATTTAAAGATGATGTGCTGAAAACATGAAAAATAGTCTGAATAAAAGGTCTATTCTCTATTCATTCTAAATTACTAATGAGGAATTGTACGTGGATCATCATGTCTATTCGTCTGATATTGCTACAATTTATGTTCGAAGAATATCGCAACTAATCATATGAGGAACAACATAAACAACATGTTCACTTTCAATCATTATGCTACTCATTTCATGATTGTAGTCAACCCAACGATCTTTAGTAAACTTCTTCAAAGCTTCGAGCTCCATGGTCACCATGCTAGGTTTCTTCCCATCTACTTGGTAAAGGCATCTACGTACCATGTCATATGTTCCTTTTAGCTGTTCATCAGTTGCATCGTTTACCACATAACATTCAAGAATATCAAGAATTATATTTTCCTTCATTGCCTTTAGAAAATAAGTTGCAAGATTACGCTCCTTTAGACATCTTTCCATAGTCAGGGGTCTTTTACCTGTTAAGAGTTCTGCAAGAACCACTCCAAAGCTGTACACATCACTCTTATCCATTAGTTGTCCTGTATGAAAATATTTAGGATCCAAGTATCCAAACGTCCATTGAACTAGATTAGTGACTTGATCATGACCCACAGGGACTAACCTTGAGGCACCAAAGTCTACAATTTTCACAGTGTAACTGTCATCCAAAAGATGTTGGTAGACTTTACATCTCTATGTATGATGGACATTCTAGCATCTGTGTGAAGATAAGCAAGTGCACTAGCCGCTTCATGTGCTCTCCTTAAACTATTGTCCCATGACAATCTCCTTGTGCCATTTCTTCTATTGTGTAGATGATGATAAAGAGTGTTGTTAGAGATAAATTCATAGACTAGTAACAGGACTTCAGTTTCCAAACAACATCCCATAAGCAGCACCACATTTTGGTAATTAATTTGAGCAAGAATTACCATTTCATTTATAAATTGCTCTCTTTGTCCTAGATCCAATCTTTGGGACTTCTTAATTGCAACAACATGCTTATCCGGTAGGCTTCCCTTGTATACAATGCCATTACCTCCTCTCCCAAGAATCCTATCTTCTGCAAAATTATTAGTCACTTCTTCTAGCTCTTTAACTCGGAAAATTTTCATTGAACCAA